TGTGAAGTCCGTGACGAAGAAGCTCCTGGATGTCCTAGAATGCATTTCGGAAGTCTTTCGGATCCCGCTCACGTTTCAGACTCCGCACACTTACACGCATTTCCCAGCGAATGTGGATATAATAAGCCTTTAGTGGAGCTATTCGCCGTTTTCATGTGCGGAAAAGTCTAAATATAGGTTCGACTATAAAGTTCATGCACTACCCATTTTGCACTAAATAGTCAAAAAAAAAAACAAACAAAGGTTTTAGTAACCATTAGAGCCTATTTACATATAGGTTTCGTTTGAGAAAGCACTTAGCCAACTTGACATTTTCGCCGAGAATACACAGTAAACTTTTTACTCTAACCTTGGCGCAGTCACTACTAAGAATCTTCAGTTTTTTGGAAAGCTGATCCCACCTCAACATTTTATCCCTTTTTTTCCAAATGGCCAACCGTCCTTATCATCTCTGCCAGGCACTTTTTTCGCTAAAATCATTTTGTAGATTACGTGCTTAGACCGGCCTGAATGACTGCTTTGCAAAAAAGGATCAGGTTTATTTCAACGGTATCGAGCATGCGGATGGTCGCTGTATTGCTGATGCTCATTTTGTTCGGTTTTATACAGGGAAAGGCTACGACACCCAAGGAGTACAATCTGGATGGCAAAGGTCTCTTTCTTGTGAAGTCATAACGACAAAACAAATGTTTTCTTGCAGAAAAATTACCCCCATATGATAGCCTAAAAAAACCTCGGGACCCTTTTCGAAGAAGAGGTTTTTACGATCCAGTAGAGTACTATGAAGAAGAGGAGCAGATGCCATCGGAAGCAGAGCTAGTAGAAAAGAAGTTCCTAGTTAAACGCGAAGCGTATAAAGGAGAATCTGAAGATGATGAAGCTTAAAGGAACGCTTGAAGAATCAAAGTTTTCGAAGTAGTAGTTCTCTGGATTTTTGTTTCTCGAATGTATTCGATTATTCATCTATTCGAAAAAAATTTTTATTGCAAAGTACGCTCAGCAGCAGGCTCTGCAATTATTTCTCAAGAAATTCAGAGAACTACTTGGAAAATTTTGATTTGAAGTACGATAGAACTGTTTTTATGACGCGTTTCTTACCAAGTAAGTAAATGCATCTAAACGCACATTCCACTCAAATCATCAAAATTCAAGTGAAAGCTGCTCGGATTTCGAAAACAAAACATTTTCAACAGCAAAACACGAAAAAGTTGGTGACAGTGAGAGAGAAAATTGTCAAGGAAGGATTGTAAGGAAATTTTACTACAAGTTCTGCGTGGCCACATTGATAAGAGGAGAATGCGCTGTTTATTTTCGTTTGAGGGTGATGAAAAGTAATAGGAGGCTTCATTTATTCTACGCCCATCATTCTGGCATTTCGCTACCGCTTTTCTTTCAGAAAATCCTTAGAGAAGTGCTTTGAAAAAGTTGGATTAAGTTTTTGAGACAGAGACATCTCTTATATTAGGGATGCGAAAGTTCTTGTGCATCATTTCTAAAAGTTTATTTTTTCGTTTCTCGATGGATTCTACTGGAAGTAATTTTATTTGTAAACACTGGTTAAGCTCTTTACAGCAGTATGCTTTCGGCGCACTAGTGTGAGAAAATTCGGGATCATATAGCAAACGGTTAGTGAAGATTGGCAGTTTTTAGGAAGGGTTACGAATTTCTGAAAGCAATTAAATTTAAAGGGGAAATGTTTCCACATTAGCGGCACCTTGCTATAAATTATTAGGTCGTTTCATAAGTTCGTAGAGTTCTCATTCTCG